TCAATCACAAGTTATATAATCTATTAACAGGTTCGAGTGAATGATTAAGCTATTAGATGATGGCACATATCTAGCCTTGAGCTTAATCGATATCGTGAGGCAAAGGGGTTCATACAAGTATACACTAGAGGTTCAGCCGATATGATCTTTATGTATGTCCGGTGGGTCAATACGTTCTGCTAGGGGCCGCTGTTGACGCGTGGACCGCAAAGGAGTTTTCGGGTTACAGCCGAGTATACATGAACCTACAGGGTCGCACGCTTAATGGGCCGGAATAAGGGGATTGGATGGAGATCCAATATGAGCTTAATTCGGATAGGGATCCGAATAGGAGTCCTACGGGCCTTGGAGGCCCGGTGATGGATCCTATATATTCGTGAGGGGTGTGACCGGTGGAGGTATTGCATCACGTGAGAAACCCTAGCCGTCACTTCTCTCCCCGAGCAAAACCCTAGCCGCGCGCGGGTGCTAGCACATCTGCGCGTGGCGTTTTGTCCCTGTACGTGTGGATACCGGTAGAGGTGCCGCTAGTTTGCGGTGCTGATCGGCGTGGGAGTACGGCGAGGAGAACGCACGAGGAGGAGAAGGTCGAGCCGGTGCGATCGACTACTTCCTCTACATCGACGCGCGCTACTTCGCGAGTTCCTTCGACTTCTCAGCGTCTTCTTCCGCTGCGCAGCGCGTCGAGTGGTACCAATCTATGATCTAATACTTGCATGGTTTTTGGTTTACGTGATAAAAAATTTTGATTTATGCTATCGTAGTCTACGCGTATCCCAACAGTAAGGTCATCATTTTTTAACTCACTGTACGGTACTATCATTAATTTAACCGCTAGTAGATAATTGCACATGATTATGCTCCTTATTATAAAAATGGAACTACACATCAACGTGCGATCCATCTCTGCTATAGTCGTCCTTATTCCTACGCAACCATGTGCTATTGGATGATTTGGATAAATATATTGTTTCAGGAAAACAAGGAAAGTCTCACTCTCTATTTTGTTTGTTTGTTTGTTTGTTTGTTTGCTTGCTTGCTCATGTTAGACCCCATTTGAAATGCAAATCAAACGTCAAACAATTCCATTCCTGCAAAAATTCATGGCGGTATTAAAGCAGAAGTCGGTATCAACAAAGGCCCCGATGTTTTTGACCAAATACTGAAAATATGTCGCACAACATATTAGAAAGAAAAATTTATGGATAAAACTTTTATATATTTTTCTTAACTATTTAAATGTTAATATAAAAAATAAATTTTGATTAAAAACTTTATTAATTTTGAAAATAAGTTTTAAATTTAGATTTTGGTAGGAAACCATGGGGGCCAAACAAATTAACCGTAGTGGGTTGGCCCTTGTTAGCTGTTAAGTGCGTTCAGATGTGGGTAGGTAGTTTTTTTTAAAAAAAAATATTATTGTTTTAATGAAAAGTTGCCAAAATGATGATCGCCAAGATATTTTTGCTAAAATAGGGCTATGTTGAATTGCCGTATTTAAATAGAGCCATATTGAACACCGCCTATCCAACAAGTAGAGGCTACCGAACGACATTCATTCGACTGCAGGCCCAATTGACTCCCGTTGTTTGAGGTCCCAACCATCACCTCTATCAAACAATAGGAGTCATTGACACGTGCTCTGTTGAAGTGCTGTTGTGCGACAAGGCTCCTGTCGAACTCCCGTTGTTCGATAGGGTCAACAGGATCTAGTCGAACAACAGTCATTTGATCGGTCGCGTTGTCAAACAGACGCCATTTGATAGGTACTTGTCTAACTATGGTGGTTCGATAGTCTTATTTTGACAAAAATATCTAGACGAGCACATTTTTGTGATTTTTTATTAAAATAATTTTTTTCCCAAAAAATTATTGTTAGGTAGTGGTGTGGGTTATGCTGCCAATGGTATATTGTACTAGATTTAAAGCATCAACGAGTAGTCCCAAAAGATCGGAAAAACACACAACAGTTAGGGTGCTATCAGCGCACAAACCTAACAAATACGCTAGCTCTTTCTTTAAATAATGATTTTTCGTAAGTCAAATATTTTTACCTTCGTGTAATTCTCAAAAAAACAATATTTTTATCTTCAACCATCAATATTACAAATCCATATAATTTAATAATGTAAGATTTATATTTTTAGCTTTCATAATATATTATTAAACTATATTTAAAAATTAATGGTAAAAATGTATATTTGTTTGATTTAGGATAAAACTTGGGTTGGAATAGATGGAGCACATGCAATTGTTTTTTTTATCGTGTAAAATCAGGATAATACGCCTAGATGCCAAGTGAGTGTATAGCTCTTGAATCGACTCACATGGGTTCAAATTCTAAATTTAACACGGATACTCGTATTTACGACTAATTATTTTTTCAATGGTATGCGATGTATCGGTCGACAGCGAAACGTTCGTGGCGACTTCGTCAATCTAAGATATGTCAGTCTAGTTTTTCAGAGGTACTCATATAGATAGGATGTGTTTATATATGTTTATAAAGATAAGTGTGCATGTGTTATGGACGTCTGTGTTGTACTTAGTTTCTTTAAAAGAAAAAAGATAATACGCCTAGATTACGTAGGAGCTACCGGAGAAAATATATAAGAGAATTAAAGCGTCGCGCTCGACTGAGGTTTGCTGCCGTCACTAGCTCTCTTTAATTAATGCATTATACTTGTCATCGCTTTCGTTTCTCCTCTTTCGCTCCGGCTGGAAGAGAGTATAGATTAGAGTATTACTCTAATCTTTGGTCCCATAATATAATAAATTTTAGTAGAATATGATATTATAGAACAGAGGAAATAGATTTTTTTTATCTGGTTGTCAAGGGGAGCGGGGATAGGTTTCTGGTGACATATTAGTTTGAGGCCAAGATGGTAATTAAAATGCTAAACAAAGCTAAAGCATATGCTAATTGCGGCATCAACCATAGGGTTACTTTTAAGAGTTCAGTAATAAGATGCCTTGCCTTGAAATAGAGATATTAACACAACTCGGCTATGGAGCTAGAAAAAAAAACTCCTTTTGTTTATTCTTCGGTTTTATATTAACACATCAGTAGTAGGGGAAACTATTTTGATCTCTCGAGGGGATGTCCCATCGTTGTTTACATATTAATCAAATAGTAATGAAAAAAATTGAAAAAAATTGAGAATATGTATTAACATGTGATATATTACTCCACAAACATGCAAGTTTAAATTCAACTTCTACATCTCACAACAAAAAAAAACAAATTTGACTGTAAATATACATTAACCAGTTGTAGTTTAATTTGTTTTTTTTCGTTGCGAGATGTAGAAGTTGAATTTAAAGTTACATGTTTATAGAGTGATATATAATATGTTAATACATCTTCTCATTTTTTTTCAAAACTTTTCATGACTATTTAAGTGACATATAAACAACGAGTGGACATTCCCTCGAGGGATCAAAATCCACTCCCTAGTACAGTAGTAGGCCTTCTGCTTGTGCATCTCTTTGCGTGTTAAAAATTGGGCCTGGTTAAAATGTGAGGCCAGTTTTGTGCAAAGCTGGGGAAATTCGAGACAATATTCCAAGATGGGCTGAATCGCATCATGTACGTGCTCCAGTATTGGGCCAAACCGCCAAATTACCATTTGACTAGAAAAATTGGACCCATCTAGGCTAAAAAAAAATAACTTTTGTTCTCAAACTCTTCCAATTTTCACCTAGAATACAAAAAACGGTTCTTAATTTCCCCAATTTAACTTTCAAAAAGATGGACATACAACACCTTAAACCAATATATCTACTATGGTTCATGAACCACTAGGTAAGTTTTTTCACCGGCCCTTAGAAAAAGATTTAAAATCTTAGCAAGTTACTATTGAGTTAGCCCTATTGCAAATAGTACACATATGTTCCCGACTAGTTAAGCTAATCCCCCTCTTTGCCGCAAGATAAAAAGAATACAATGATTAATATAGAGCTTGTTTGACATGGCTATGAGGCTTAAGCCCAACCACATAATTTCAGCTCCATTTAAAATAGGCAAAATTGGTTATATAGTACTCAAAGTTCATTTTAAAATAGACAAAATTGGTTATATAGTATTAAAAGTTCACGTTTTTAGTTTTATAACACCGAAAAATACTGGTTCACTTTAATAGCACTCAAAGTTCACCCCATTCCTATTTTTAACATGTCCATCAATTCTCGATCGTTTTTCGTCCAGCTTAATCGCTATTGATCCAGCTACGCACACGGTATGACGTTTCTAAACGTCATATAAAAAACGGTCTGGTCGATAAAAAAAAATTACCGGCACCATTTTTCGGGCTACTATGCACGGTGGTCAGGGACTCAGGGGTCCTTGGAGCGGCTGGAGACGATGGGTCCATTTAGCATAGATTCTACTCTGAAATTCTTCCTACAGAGAACTATACCAAAAACTTTTGAGATCCTGAATAATATAGAGGGGAGTTATCGCTCCGCTCCTGAAAATTACATTACAACAGTGGAGCGGTATTTCCGTTCCTTCTCATGCCAAACAGGTCTCGACGAGTGTCCATGAGAGTATGAGACCATGACCACCTTCCGCAGTTTGCAACTTAATTAATGAGAGGCAGATAACTATCGATGTACACGAACAGTACTCGAACACGTTAGATTTAGCTGCAGCATGCGTTTGATGTCCCAGGTCGAGCTAGCCAACCTTCACAAGTTCATCAAGTACCCCGCGCAATCTTAACATATGGACCTACGGTATATCAGCTCACACGTTATGCCGTAGATCGATTCCGACCGATTGATCGATCGTTCGGCGTCAATCCATTTCTGACCATGTCATACTGTCATTGCCCTCGAGTTAAACAAACAAATAGGTATGAACTTGTTGCACCATTTGCTTGATCCATCTGCAGATCCGCTTCATATTATCATATATGTTTTCATTTATATATGCTTATGAATTTATGATCGATGTAGATGCTAGCTACCACGCGCGAGATCCGGCCATGGGCGAAGACGAAGAAAAATATCCAGTTGATCAGTTAAAAGTTGAGACAGCGAACGCATAATTACAAACCTCTCCTCTATATTAACAACATATTAGTATGATCGTACAAGGGAAGTACAAGATGATCGAACCAATAACTAAGGCAGAAGCAAGCGTACATGCACAGCAGAAAGCAGTATATATACGGTATATATACTCGTATCCATGGTGGTGTGGCATGTAGAAGGAAACGGAGCTCCGATCGATGTAGCTAGCTACCAGCCTACCAGTAGTCTTGACCGTATAGCAAGCTCCCATGGTCGTACACGCTCTGGAACGGCATGGGCGCCGCCGTGGCCATGACGCCGGCGGCGCCACCACCGGTGGCATCCGCCGTCGCCATCATCATCCGCCCCGCGCCGGCGGCGTTCGCGGTCGCCATCGTGGGCGGCATGCTGGAGCGGGGGACGACGCCGCCTGCCGCAGCCGCCGGCATCATCATCGACGCGCGGCCGAACGAGGAGGAGGAGAAGGAGTGGTAGCGCTGCTGCTGGTGGTGGTGGTGGTGATGGTCGAGGTCGTGGTCGGCGACGTTGGAGTCGCGGCCGGTGAGCTCCTGCACCACGGCGCGGAACTCCTCGGCGCTGGCGGTGAGCTTCATGGGGCTCGAGATGTACACCACCTTGATCCCCTTCCCGCCGCCTCCCCTGCTCCCCTTCCCGCCGCCGCCGCCGCCCTTCCCGCCGCCGTGGCACGGCTTCGAGATGCCGCCGCCGTTGTGGTGCACGCTCAGCCTGTCCATCGATCTTGCCTCCATCGACCAAACCAACAATTAATTAAACGCAAACCAATCAATCGATCCACCTCTCGACAAGATTGAGATGATGATGATGATGATCTAAGAAGTAGTGGTGGTGGGTCTTAGGCTTCGGTGGCGCGATAAATATATAGGGCGCGCGCCGCCGCAAAAGATTGTTTGATGTACTACGGGGGGTGGTGATTTTTGTTTCAGGGATCACTGGTTTCTGTGGCGCCCGCGCTACGGATTGGCTCGGCCCGCAGGTTCCGCGAATCCACGGGAGAATAGTAAAGTTTTTTTTTGGAGGCAAATTGAGGCACATGCGGTTTTGGTGGTTTCTGGAGTTGGAGAGTCATGCAGGCAAGTACGGTCGCTGGGTGTGACGGTTTCTTTCTCGCGTCTCGCCATCCTACGTAGTAGGATTAGCTTGCAGCTTGCTAGTTGCAAGTTGCGACTACTATGCCATGAGTAGTACTTTCTTGTTTTGGGGAAACTTTTTATTCGCTTGGATGGATATCAAATTTGCTTATAATAATTGTATTTTTTTAAAATATAAATGAATTAATAAGTAATATATCACTTCACAAGCATGTTTAAATTACACAAATTAATATATTATTATTATTATTTATATTTATTTAATTGACATGTAATAAACGAGTGAACATCTGATTACAATTTTTCTCCGATTATTTAGCGCGATAAATATAACTACAGTAATAGTCCAGTAGTCGGAAGGTTGGTGAGGAGGGGAATGAAATTCTATCTATGATGATGAATTGATTATCGATCTCCATCGACATCGACGATCTGCACAATAGATCAATCGATCGATCGAGTAGGGAAGGTTCCCGGAAAAAAAAGGGGCGCAGGAGATTTTGACGTACAACGATAAATCTGTTGATTACTCGGATGGCATGTCGCCCTGGAAGCCTACACGAGAGTTTTGCCGGCGTTCCGGTCAACGTACGGTTCCGCTGGAGAAATATTTCGCGCCGGACAACGTGGAGATATCGATGGTGATGTACATGCATGCCGTCTCTGCTACCGTCGACCCAATCGTGTGGCACACGTAATAGTAGCACACAACGGCGAGAATGGCGACGTGGATCGTCTTCCTGTTCGGCGGGCGAGCGATCGATGGACACAGCGCTGGCAACGGAGAAGCTAACGTGGGGTATAGAGGTGGGCTGACTCTGGGGCGGAGCTACATGTTTAAAGGGGGTGCCCAGGAACCCGGTGAAGATAATTTTTTAAGCTATAGTTCATCAATTTACACCATATATTCACCCCTCAATACAAATTTAAGCACCCACCTCTAAAACAGAGTAAAGCAAACATGTGGCACCCCTTTCTATTTCGCTCTAGCTCCGTGGATGGGGAATGGCCACTAGGGAGGGATACGGACGATCGGATCAATTCGAATAAGGTAATATGGTCAAACGACATCAATTCATTGAGTTCTGTTGGATTTTTTTTAAAGAGTTAATTATGTTGGATTTGAGTAAAAATCATATGTTAGTCAAGTTAATTCGATATATATTGATAAGATAGGCTCATCAATTTAGTCCGCAAAATAATACTTTAACTCTGACAATTTTCCTAGTCAAATTTAACTAACCTTATAGAAAAGTTAAAAAAATATATTAAAATATCATATTAGTTTCATTAAATCTAATATTTAATATATTTTGATAACGTGTTTATTTTTTTTAAATATTGCTATATTTTCTATAAACCTGATCAAACTTTAATAGGTTTGACTAGGAAAAAAAATTAAAATGACTTAAAATATAAAATGAAGATAGTAATATGTACAATTGGTGAACTAAAAGGTCTTGGAATGGATCTTAAAAAACTAAGATCACTACTTAAAATGGTAATAATTGCTAATATTGTGATGTATCATATCTCGTATTAGATTTGTTTTTCTATGAGATGAAGGAGGTATACCAAATATGTCATGTCTTGTATTAGATTTGTTTTTTATGATATGATGGGAGTGGTGAAGCGCATGTCCGAACAGAAACAAATGGCGGAGCCATGGCATCATCGATGGATCCAGACAATAAAATAAATCTAGCACTCCCTCTATTTTAAAATAAATACAGTTGTACTTCTCATGTCCAATGTTTGATCATTTGTTTTATTTGAAATTTTTTTATGATTAGGACTTTTATTGTTATTAGATGATAAAACATAAATACTATTGTATATATGACTAATGTTTTTTAAATAAAACAAACGGTCAAACATTGAACACGGATACTTACGAGGTGGAGTAGGTTTCTATTGGTTGTCAATCATTTCACGGCATCATTTCGTAAGAAATCACGGTAGACGTTGCATAGGCGGCTGCATGCCGCCAACCTCTGCCACTGTGTACAAACACACGCACGCACATCCTATTGCGCCATTACCATTCAAATGAAAGAATAAATCACACTGGTTGACGTGTACTATCATATTGAAGTAGCTCGTCACTACTCATGAGCCATGACCGCACTCTAGCAGCTAGCATGGTCATAAAAAAACGCAGCTTGATTGTTCACCTCTATATGTTGTAGTATGTTGTAGTATATTCTAATTAAACTTGTTCTAAATTTAACCAAATTTATAGAAAAAATTAATAATATCTGCAACACGAAATAAGTTTCATTCAAACTAACATTTCAAATATTTTTGTAATATGTTCAATTTGTGTAAAAAATATTGCTAACATTTTCTATAAATTTAGTTAAACTTAAAGAAGTTTAATTAGAAGAAAAGTTAAAAACAATTTATAGTATAAAACGGTGGGAGTACAACAGTAGTTCTTAATGCAAGTGGCAGCCCTCATAAAAGAAGTGGTAGTTGCTATTCCTTCATCTTAAAATATAGCTACTTTTAATATTTAAATTTTATCATGAAATATAGTTCAATAGCAACATGTACAATACCAATGGGTGTTTATATAGTAATGAAATTTCCAAAATACTCCTCACCTCTCCATAATCCCTCCCACCAACCAAGACAATTAATGAAGGATAAACTAGTACTATTTTTTACTTCTCTCCTTAATCTTCGCGAAAAACTCTAAAAAGTAGCTATATATGATCTAAGATGGAGGGAGTAGCAAGTATATCATTATATATCCCATCGCCTTTATATATATGTGCTCTATTATTTTCATAGCCTATTTTTTATATAGTATATCATTAAATAGGTAAAGAAAAGAGCCATTATGTTCGCTCTAAATGCCTAAAAGTTGACACATTAAAATTGAATTAAAATAATACGCTGCTATATCATAATCAATCCAAATTATAACGGTGTAAGTTGATTGATATAATTGTATAGGTGGTAGTATAAGATTAGAATTGTATATCAAATCTAAATTTACTTAGAACTGATTTGTCTATTAAATCCAATTTTATTTTTAAATTTTATTATATTCAAAATAAAACTATATCTATAGAAACAAAAGCTAAGGATTGTATAACACATAATATTCCTTATCAAAACTAGCTTTGTGTAAAATTGTGTGAAAAATTATGCTAATCTCTATCTCTACTATTATAAAAATTGAAGATGTTTTTGCCATTACTTTTGGTACGTCATCCGTGTTTGAATCGGTTTGTAAGTTCAATCTCTTTTGGAAATACAGATCCGTGTTTGAGTCAGTTTTTAATTTTGTTCGTTTTTAGAAATACAGAAGGAGTCATGTAAGAAATCTTTTTAAAAAACTTGCATGCTAACTTGAGACGATCGGACCCTTAATTGCGGCTCATGATTTTGTAAAAAGAATATGCAAGCGAATTCCCATAGTAAATTTCACCTTAGCTAAACCGTACAACAATAATAAGATTAAAAATGGCCTTCACCCGTTGCTAATTTTAATTTAAAATTGAAAGTGTGTACGACAGAAATGACTACGTAATTCTGTGGATTATTGTCTTGAACCTTGGAGGCAAATATATAAAATAGCACATGACTTGAATCTTTAGAAATCCATGAGAGGTAACATAATATCCTACTATAGTACCTGAATCCTCTAACGGAGTCAGGGGAATGTGTCCAGGAGGATGTGGGGTTGGCTGTGGAGAACAGGGGAATGGCGAGGCCCTAGCGCCTTGGTGCGATGGAGGACTAGTGATGGTAGATCTAGGGCCGCTAGATCAGGTGCGGAGGTAGGTTGCTTGCTGCTGCTTGACGCAAACGACAATCACCGAAAATTAAAGATTGGCCGTGAGATAGCTCCTCCTAAGGATGATGCCTCTAGCTCTAGGTTGTCCACTTTTATACCATAAATTATGTGTGCGGGTATAATTGTGTTGGGCCTTTGCAGTGATATACAAAGAGTATATGACTTGGATATTAAGTTATCAAAGATAGATCGGATAAAAACTAATCATATCCTATTACAACAACTAAATCCTGCATACACAACAAATTAAAACACGTACTCATGTAGAGTTTTATGGGTCTAATTACTATATTTGCCTTCGTTTACTTTATACGGTCACGCTAATACACGTGATGCATGCTAATCAGTAGGTAGCGCGTCTCGGATCGCTCCCATTCCTCTGGCTTTTATCCTTTCTTTCCTCCCAATCCCGCTTCGTCCTTTTCTATCTTGCTCTCCCTCCTCTCTGGTCGAATAATGTTTATTCCAATTGTCTACAAACCTCTCCTTATAAATTCACCCATCATCATTATAAATGAAGAGAGATGTTGTATTGTACTTCCATTGAATTTTAAGTAATTGACAATGTTGACTTCCATGGACGCACACATTAGCTAATTAACAACAGCCAGATCATCAGACTATTTTTTTAAAGGAGATCATCAGACTATTTAAATAATCCAAGCTAATGTTCTATATAGGAAGGATCGAGTAATCCGATTTGGATTGCAGATGCATTCCATGATTAATATTGTACCGACCGACCGATGACTTCCCCTAATTAAACAGCTCGATGCATCGAACGATCTCCGCTCCCGCGCCGGTCGAGCCGTTGAAACAATCGATCCAATCAACGGAAAGCAACGTGGACATGCAACAAATAATTTCTGGTCCAAGATTGTGTCTATCTCCCGTCCAGGAACGTGCTTAGCTTGCCAACCATTGCCATTAAACAGGAGTCCCGTAAAATATTCACCTCGCCTGTAGAGCTGCAAGTGCGAGGTACTTTCTCCTGCGCGCTGTACATGCCGCAAGCACGCACGTAGGCACCCATGCACGGTCAAAAAGCTCAGGTTAATTACTTATTCCCCGTACTTTAAACGGACTTAATTTATCA